GAACTGTTTCAATTGGATAAGGCTTTTCTTTAATCTTGGTTTTCCTAATTTCTTCCAGAAATTTCTGGGTATCAACGTCACGTCACTTCCCCTATTTAGTGCAGAGGACCGTGTGTTTACGTAGTTGTTAAATTAGGGACACGTGCTGTTTATTCCTGCTAGAAGGTCTAACTATAAGAAAATGGCGGACTCAAGTTGAGTCCAACCGAAGATGTAAAGAACAAACAATATATATATATATATATATATATATATATATATATATATATATATATAAAATATGTGTGTGTGTCAACAAATATGTATTAAACAACAAATTTACAAGTGACAAAGGCATCAACATTTGTTTGTGTATGGACGTAAAGAGTTTGTATTTTGGTGAGTGTTCGTACGTACGTGTATGTGTTTCATGGCGTTTTCCCATAAGTGGGCGAAAACGCAGATTTCTACGAGAGATTACAATTTTAAATGTGTCCGCTGAAATGCAAAGTAAAAAAGAGAACGAGGCAAAAAGTTGCCTAGTATTTATAGTGTAGGGAGAGCGACCCCTAGTTAATAATTAGAGAATTAAGGAGGAGCTAACTCCGACACTAGTTGCATGCCCAATAAAACATAGATTCGGATTTTTAATAACTTATTCATTATTTTTTTTCCTTTTTTCCAATGAAAAAAACGTCCGTACTTATTTCTTCATATCCGAGAGTTCGGATTCTCTGTCTTTTTAAGAGTGACGTTATAGGAAGGGATCATAAATGTTGTAAAAATAAAAAAAATTGCACGCAAAATAAGTGTTAACCTACGGACATCGATTGTGTATACGAAAAAAGATTATGCCGAATTAAGGTGTCAAATAAAGATAAAATAATTCCATTATTTCTAAGTTCTTATAATTTTTACATATATAGGACGCTGAAGGTAAAAGGCCGAAGACTTAAAAGCGTAAAGTCCGTCGGAAAGGCGTCTTCTAGGCTAGTTGTAAATATAATATTGATTCCTCAAACGAATTATTACAATTCAACAAAGACGTTACAAAAGAATATAATACATAGATGCATAAAACCTAAAGACATTAATAAGCATCTACTATTCATTACTAACTCTGGAGCTCGACCATTTTAACCATTCTTATTACTTCTGGTCCAGAAAAAGAAAACGGACATACCCAAGAGACATTGAAAACTGTTTCACACACACATGTAGCGGGGCCGATAAGGATGTCGCCCCCCGCAAGCTTTACGAAGAAAGGTTTGAACAGCTAAGACAATGAGGTAACAAAGGCAGAGGTTTTGAATACAATACAATAACGTCGATTTTATTTATCCAAAATGTACAAGAGTGTACTCTGGAGAAATATGTTCGTATCGGTGTCGGATTCGTTATGACTGGTTTTTCTTCAGGGATAGTTGATCTCGGTTGTATCGGCGAAACGAATGTAGAGTTGGTCGGCGGCGGTAGCTGGTCGACTGCCGGATGGGAGAATTGTCGGGAACAGCAGCAGGTTGATCGATGTCGCACGAAGATTCGTTGTATCGGTTAGGACGAGTCCCTAGAGAGGGCCGAGTCAGTATACAACCACGGAGGCGGGTATCGTGCCGAAGTGTAGCATTTGACGAAGGCGGATCCCCTAAACAGGGCCGAGTCAGAATAGTGATACGACTTCACTGGGTGGATCAACCGCGGTATCACGCTGAAGGGTAGGACTTGAAGCTGGGGTCAGAGAGGCGATACGTCTTCCAGGGCGGATCGACCGCGGGAACGGGATCACGCCGAAGAGTATTCTCTCGACGAAGGCACCGGAAGCTCACAAAGGTAGCGTACTACACTTTGATCCTAGCCCTCGGGCTGAGCAGCCCGGATTTGTACGAAAAAGGGGTTAATAATATGTAAAACGATTTATTCAAGTACTCCCTCTAGCCAGGGAGTAGAAAACCGTAGATATTAAATGAATCCCAATGTTGTTCGATGTTTGAAAAGCGCTGCCTAATCCGATGCTCACGAGGTACGGTTTGGACTCAACCATATTGGACTAGTCGTCCGATTTCTCGCATGTTGCTTGACTTAAATCTGCGAGATCAGGGGTTGTGAAGGTCAAGGTCGTTTATCTAAGGAGCGGCTAATGGCGGCCGTGACACACACACACACACACACACACATGAAAAGAATAAAGTTTGTAGTAGAAATCAGTTTTGTATGCTTCTTTGTTCACACGCGAACACCTATCATACACCAACCCCACAACTTTTTTTTTTTAAATATTCTATTTCAGAATATACGACGATAATTCTATTGCTTAAAAACATTGTTCTAATTCCGACGAAAGTGGTATGCGATGACACATGATAAACATAAAACAACTTGTGAATAACAAGCACAACAAATAGGACAAATTTTAAACGCTGTCTATCTCTCTCTCTCATATATATATATATATATATATATATATAACATTACATCAGTCATGCGACACAACAGTTTCAAAATACAAAAAATAACGTGTTAACGTAAAAATTCAAAATCATACTTAAAATACTTTCTACCACACGGACTTTAAATTTCATGTAATTTTATCTATCTTGATAATGACTAAAGTTGATTGGGCGCAACTTAGGAAAGATTTATCGCCTGCTTACGAAGCTACCAATATTTTTGTAGTTTAACTAAAAACACAAAAACAATTGAATTACATTTCCTAAATGATGACAAAATACCATGCTCGAATAAAAAGCTCTCACTAACACCGCCATAGGAAATTCAATTTTTTCGTTTAAAAAAAAAAAAAAAAAAACGTAAGCAGACGATAATTTGCTATTGTTTTTCGTAAGCATGCCCGGTAAACGGAAGTCAAGCTGCTAGCCTAAACAAGAATTTGCACAGTGTAACAGGCACCTTTTCCACCTTTAACACAGAAACTAATCTTAAAAGGATTTTCCTTTTTGGCAGAGGAGGAAAATAGAGAACGCCAATCTCTTCCAAATATTATGAATGGCACAAACGAAAAAAATACTTGACTCAATCCGTTGTGAAATTTGGAAGAAATTTACTTTTATTAAATGATAAAAAGAATAATAGCACAGAATACAAAATTTTACAAAACAACTTTGCACCAAATTTTCCTTTGTGTGCAACGCAATTAGGCAAGCTAACTTCTATCTGTAATGAGTTGGTCGGTCAACTTGACACCCCCAAAGTGAGTGGAGGTGGGCAGGCGCGAGAACTGTGATTGGTAGCTGGCTTGTTGGTGTTTTGCATAGGTGAGTTACCAAGCTCTATGTAAAGGGATGGAATGAGAAGGAGGGCAGTTTTTCAGTCTCAAAAGTGGAGACTCTGTCCGTCGCTACGACAGCAGGAGAGAAAGAGACGAAATCATTTATTTTTTCGTGACATTCCAACACAAGCTATTTCGGCATTTACTTTGTCTCTAGCAAGATGGCGGAAAGACCGTTCGACATAAAACTGATCTCCGAATTCAGTGGTGATACGAGTGGACAGTCTGTGGTTGAATGGATCGAAAATGTGGAACTGGTCTGCGAATTATGCGAGATCACGAAGACTGAACGGATTCTTCCACTGCGATTGAAAGGCGGCGCCCTTGCTGTGTATAGGCAGCTGAGCAAAGAACAGAAAAGTGACATTGAGCAAATAAAGCGCGCTCTACTAACCGCGTTTGGAACTGACCGGTTCGTGGCCTATGACCAATTCCAGGCGCGGCGTCTGCGACCTGGCGAGACAGTAGACGTATATTTGGCGGAATTAAAGAAGGTCGCCGTACCGATCGCACCGCTTCCTGAAGAATGGATGACCTGTGCCTTCGTGTCTGGATTGCCTAGTCATGTTAAGCAGATACTCCGTGCATCATCCAGAATGGAAGACATGACGCTCAATGAATTGTTGACCAGAGCCCGTGCTATCATGATCGACGAAAAAGAGGCTGATGAACCAGTGGCCGCAGTCGTTCAGCCAATTGAAGTCAAAGAGGATCCGACCCCAGCCATCCGTCGCCATGGCGATGTCACCTGCTATCGGTTCTCTGAGCCGAATCATTTTGCCAAAGACTGCTGCTATCAACGCAAAGCAATGCGCAGCGGGTCGGCGCGAAAGGCACGTTCCGATCTACGATGTTTCCAATGTCACATTGCCTCTAAGTGAAATAGAATGGGGGATGCGACATCAGCCGGTCTCTTCTCCGCACCGAGCATGAAAGTGGCGCTCCCCGTGATTAAGGTGCGCATCAATGGAATAACGCGCACCGCTTTAGTAGATTCGGGCTGCTCTCGGTCACTCACGAACGGTTCGATTTGTCGACAGTGGAGCAGACAGAAGATGGACGTACTAACGGCTGATGGAAAAGCTCTCAGAAGCCAGGGAGTTGGAAACATCAAACTCACTATCAACAACAGTAACCCCGTTACAGTCAGCGTGTTGGTCGTGGACAGCGCATTATTAGGTTTTGATCTGCTCCTTGGGATGGACATTACTAAGGAGCTGGGCGGCGTACGCATCAGAGGCAGGCGAAGTCGAGTTTTCTGATCCGCCCATCTGTGCTGCCTTGAGGATTAACGAACCTGACTTCAGTGCAACTTTCGACCAGCGCAGGCGCGTATGGACCGCACCGTGGAAGTGGGCGGGTGGACGAACGCCTACGCCACTGAAAAATAAAATAGCCGAGTACCCGGTTCCAGAGCATATCAGGATCGAATACGAAAATGAATTGCAGATTTGGATAGCAAACGGCTGGCTTGCGCCGTACCCCGAGGAGGAGTTGGGGCCGCCTCGAGAACGGATTCAGCAAGTGTACGGACAAGCTTAGAATGGGGCATGTTACCGAGATTATCAGCCCGCAGTCAGGGCGGGTTGATGGCATGCCTCATGTTAAAGACTTGCGGCCAGTTGTAGGGTTAAAACCGTCATTAGATGATGAAAGTGACTCCGAAGATGGTGCGAGGGTGGTGTATTTAAAGTCGGATCCATTGAGTTTTACCTCAAACATCAGTACTCTACCTATGGATGTCAACGTGGCCAGCTGTCCAGAGGCGGATGGTAGCTCAACAGATGAGAGTTCATCCGAGGATGAGGACCCTGTCATCCCGCTCAGAAGGAGTGCCCAGCAAAAGAAGCCTGCCTCGAGTTGCACGGTGTGCGATCATGACAGCGAGACACGGGATGAATCTGGAAATCTGCCACCTCGGAGCAAACGAGTTCGCGCATGTGTGGTTATCCCAATATGTCAAGTGTGCAAGTTGTATATATGCGGACGCAGTCACCAGACAGACGCAACCATCTCTTGAACTGAGAAGCTTTGTGATCTTAAGATCGGGGCGGGGGGTTAATGAGTTGGTCGGTCAACTTGACACCCCCAAAGTGAGTGGAGGTGGGCAGGCGCGGGAACTGTGATTGGTAGCTGGCTTGTTGGTGTTTTGCATAGATGAGTTACCAAGCTCTATGTAAAGGGCTGGAATGAGGAGGGCAGTTTTTTTTTTTTTTTAGTCTCAAGTGGAGACTGTGTCCGTCGCTACGACAGCAGGAGAGAAAGAGACGAAATCATTTATTTTTTTCGTGACACATTCCAACACACTATCGACAATACTATAATATATATATATATATATATATATATATATATATATATATATATATATTTTTTTTTTTTTTTTAACACTTCTCAATAAAATGTTCACTTCTAATTCATTCGACCGGCGAAAGGAATTGTGAAGGGTGACTATTCACTGGCGTCGCTGGGTTTCTGGTTTGTTCAAACAACAGTTTAGTTTCATAAACTGAGATTAGATAAATTTCGCATTTTTATAAATTCAAAATAAGAGTTAATACCTCTAATTTTGTGTCAAACTTTCACAAACAACTATAGAAAGATAGATATCTCTAATTTTTTTTTCCATCAATTTTCACCAAGCAATGCAATAATGGCACGGACACAAGAGAGCAACTGGGAATAAAAAAAATAAAAAAAATAAGAGAAAACTTAAAAAGAAACCGGGAATACAATGCTTAACAAGTGATAAACCTTTTACTCCTGTTGAAAAGATCGGAGAGGAGTGTGTGCTTTGCTTATTCCCGTTCTTTTTCTGTTACTTCCTTTTCGTCATCGTTGTCCTTGTGAATGCCGAAACCTTTCAGCCCTTCGCTCTCATAGCAACTAACAGTGACTGTTGCCTATAAAAGTCAAATCCCTTTTGCTTCTACTCTTTTAGCAGCTACTGCCCATTGTCTGTGAAAACCAAATTTTATGCATATATCTTTTTATAAACCGTCAAACTTCATTTTGACGTTCTTTTACATCATTTTAGCCTCGCTTTACAAATTTTTATAGATCAAATTTTACTCGTCATTTTTTACTAACCGTCTGGCTACATTATAGCAGCTTTTTTTTAATTTAAAGAATACGTATCTGTTTATATTTCTGAGATGAGGTATTATGTACACATTTTACATTATTCAGACTATTGTTCTCATCTTTTCACCATATTTATTAGAACGTTTCGGCCGTTGTACGCTTCGGTGGTTGGAATGTCGAACTGAACCCTTTATTTCGCTCGCTGGGGTAGACTGTTCTAGTTTCACGTGCCAAGTCTAATGGATCTCAGTTATCTCCTGTTAATTCACTTTGCCATGTCTCAGTAAGCGAAATAAAGGGTTCAGTTCGACATTCCAACCACCTGAGGAAGGCCGGAGCGTATAACGGCCGAAACGTTGTAATAAATATGGCAAGAAAGATGAGGACAATAGTCCGAATAATGTAAATAGTATAAAGAATACGTGTTAGTTTTATTAGATAAATTATTATAATCTACCCACAAGAAAAACTCCTTAGAATATCAGTCATGGCTTGTTTTAAGCAAAACTTGTTTGACTGAACATTGCTGTTTTGTGTTATAACTTTTCTTCATAGACTTTGGATAACGCTATCATTTTTTTTTTTTAATTTCATTTATGAGATATTGCATCAAGTTTCAGGTTATAAAATGTTTTGTTACTACTTTAATCTGTTAATATAATGAACTCTGACTCTTTCGGTTTCTTCCTTCGTAACATTTTCAGAAAGAGAACAGATACTACACTTTGGTCTTAAGCACTGCCACAACGAAACGCATCTGGATATATAATTGTTTCTTTCGTAAAAACAAAAATATCTCAAATTCAAATCCCCGATACTTTTTTAAAGATGGACGTATGTATGTATTACTTCAAACGTTATTTTAGTGAATACTCGTATTTGAGTAAAAATGCCTTGTATTCGAAGTAATAAAAATGTCGAATTAAAAATAAAAATCTATTAATTCTTTAGAAACTATATTAGTATCTGTCTTTGAAGGAATTGCCGAGTGAAGGTCGTTTGTGGTAAACTTGAAACTAGGTACCTCCACTAATTTTCGATACCTAAGGTTTAAAATGAATTTTTATAAATGAAAAAAATGCTTTCATTTTAGCTTTAATTGAAAACTAAGGGATTAAATTTACTATTTCCAGTAAGCAAAATATTCTGGAGATATTTTAGACAGAAATTGATTGGAATTTTTTTCTAAAATAGCTGATTATCACCCCCTTTTTAGTCGTCTTTCATCGCAATTTAATTCTCGGCATTAACCCCCCCCCCCACCGCCAATAAAATGTATTATTTCTGAAACTTTATTTGAGGAATATTAGCTGATTTAAAGTATAATTTGATTTTGAAAAAAAAAATATTCTAAGTTTTTGACATTGCCATGTTTTGCGTAATTGACGAGGCATTGACAGAATGATTGTTGTTCTACGGAGACTTTATCTGTAAAACATAATTTAAGAAAATGACATGAGCGCCTTTTTTATATAATTTTCAAGTACTCTGTAATCTAATTTTAGGAATAGTGACTTTAAATTTACTATAGTCATCGCTCATATTTTCTGACAACATGATCGACCATACTTTAAAAAATGGGAGCATTACATAATATTTCATATACATAAAAAAAAAATAAAATTACTTTAAAAATCTTGGGGCAAACTGATTTGTATTAAGCTTTTCAATTTTTGATTTAGTAAATATAGTTTTCACTTAATAACAATATCACCTAACCAGATGAACGCAATGTAGAATTTTAAGATTTATATATTATAAATTATAATTAAAATTTTAAAAATGACAATTCTTGTAAAATTTCATTATTTATCGAAAAAAATACTTTTGTTAGATCTAACAAAATTTTAAAGACCTTTTAGTTAACAGTTGCATTCTATTTTATTTTGTATGATCTATATATTTAAATTTTGTTAGATCTATATATTTAAATAATTTTGTAAGATTTCTTTATATTGGGTGTTAATAAAACCAATCAATGCAAAATATCAAAATGTCTGCCGAACGCTAATACTACATATTACCAACACCACTATAAGATTAATGTCAAAATTATACTACGTCTAAATCAATTTTAGTGGCAGAAAGATAAGCCTTATATGGTGCAACAAGGTTTAACTAAAATCTTAGAAGCAATTGTCAAATTTCAAAGTTTAGCAAGATTGTACAGTTGGAGGTAAGGTATGTTTACAATTAACCGTTTATTCAAATCTTTGATTTAATAAAGCATCCCTATCCAAGAACCTGATAATCTGCATTTTTCCTGTAAACATAGAAAACAATGTTCATATAAGGGTCTACATGTTTTTGCCAGTTTGAAAATTTTCCATTTGACTCTAGGAGTTTTATTTTCATCTTTCAACCTCCAAAAATATTTTGAAAGTGATGTATTATTTCTATAAGTATTATTAGTAAAAGACGATGTGTTGATACCACCGGGTTTTGAAAAGATTCTTAGTACTGTCAATATATAATTTTTCAACCTTTGGATTTTCCATTGTAGAAATAGAACAAAGATGCACAAGAAATTCTTTAACAATATTTTATTTGGTACTTGTATTATGATTAATATTATTACATTGCTTTAGAATACTATAGTTGTGAAACTTTGATTTTTCTCGATAGTATTGGTGCAACTATAATTTAGTTTTAATGTATTTCTATTAAATATTTTACTAAAAGGTTGCTTTTTGGAAAATATTTATTGATCAATTTGGGAAACTAACTTAATATTAACTAATTGTTTAAATGGAGGTGTACACCAAATGATCTTTTCTTTGAATTACAGTCATCATATTTTCTAACCTGAATTTCGATGCACTTCTACTCTATATTCTTTAGAACTTTATTGTACACACTGCTATATTTCTCAAACACATTTTTGTTCAATGAGTGGTTGTTGATGCTAAGTTCTACAGAAGAATGAATATGTTGGATTACAGACGGGGAGGGTGTGACTGGAATTGGGGTGAATAATTTTTCATACAAGGCTGAAAATTGTCATTAACTAAATCTAACGTGACATCGAGAAAATCAACTTGTTTAATATTGGAGTTTATTTTAACCTTCAGATCTAAACATTTTAGTTCCCTATGAGTCATTTTTCTAAGTTTATCTACTTTATTTCACGTGAAGTTTCTTTTTTTTTTTTTTTTATCTTTTAAATAGTTTTGTTAGATCTATTTTAATTTAATTTTATTTGCCAACTATTAAAATGAGATTTTTGGTTTGTTTTTTTTTTTTTTTTTTTTTTTTAACTCGGAGATGTCATTTGTCGAGTATATTGTTAAATTACCTTTAATCGGAAATGACATCGTCAAATGTATAATTATTTCAGTTACACATTATTTCCATGGAAATCCTGCTAGTCTTGCAGGATATTTACGCTTCATTATTTCTTTATTGATACCAGAGAAATTCCTTCTTTCCTGACCTCGTTTATATCGACTTTTAAAATCGGGAGTCAGCAGAGTGAGAGAGATAAGATGCTTTCTTTCATCATTGGTAAAATTTGGCGATCCACACAGGAAATGAAGTAGCTTTCATTCGTGTACGATAAGAGAACTTAGAATACACGTTTCCACTGGATTTTTGAGTTGGCTCAAGAAAGTAGCAAAGAAACCATTGATTCCCAAGTTGGCATCTACGCGGACGACACTACAATTTACTCCTGCCTCAAAAACAAATCTAGTGTCGTTGATAAAACTAACCTGGCCGTTCGTCTCGAAAAGAACCTCCAATCGGTTGTGAACTGGGGCAGAAATTGGCTGGTTAACTTTAATGCCTCCAAAATGAAACTGCTCTCTATTAATCACCATAGAGATCCTTCCCTGCCTTCCATTAGAATGTCTGACGCTCAACTTCTCGAGAGCACCTCTCTTGCGGCTGCTCAGCCTCACATTGACTGATGACCTGTGATGGAACAAATACATTGAGTCAATTACTTCGCCCACCGCAAGGAAAGTTGGCTCCCTGTGCCGCGCCAGGAAATTTTTCTTCCCGGAATCGATCCTTCAAACCTACAAATCAACCATTCGCCCTTGCATGGAGTATTGCTGTCATATATGGTCGGGAGCCCCTTCTGTTTGCCTCGGGGTTCTTGATGAGATCCAGAGACGGATATGCAATTGGCCCTGATCTGGCATCTCGTCTACAGTCGCTTTCTCACAGACGCGCCGTCGCCTCTCTGTCTTTTTTACAAATACTTTCGTGGTAATTGCTCCGATATGCTGCTTTTGCTGGTTCCCAGACTTCGCGAATTCAAGCGTCCTACGAGGCTGGCATCCAGCTCTCACCCTTTCACTGTTGAAACTGTTAAATGTAGCCGCCTCTTCTACTCCAATAGCTTCATATCTCGCACCTCTCGCCTGTGGAACTCCCTTTCCTATTCCTGTTTCCCTGACAGCTATAATCTCCAACTTTTAAATGTAATGTCAATCAACATCTTCAGTTGCCTTGATCTATCCACTACCCTTCTCCTCATCCTTTCCTCTTTCATTCTTACCTGCTCTCGCTCCAAATCCTCTATAACCCCTTGCGTGCTAGTGGCTTCCCGCCTTGCTAGGCGTGAAATGCTAAAAAAAAAGTAAATGAAAGAACCATTCTAACTATTTAATCCTCCCTCATAAGCAGTGCTATAGTTTCTCATAAACAAAAATCTACGTGTTTTTTGTCAATAACAAAAAAACCTCAAGATGCGAACTACGAAGTGCAGATGTCAACATAAAACAAATAGGGAAGTTTAAATATTTGAGAGCATGGAAAATGTGAGCACCCTCCCCCACCCGAAATCCGAACATGCATTGAACATGATGCTTTTTAAAAGCTAAGCAAAGTGCTAAGAAACAGGAAAATTTTGTTAGAAACAAGAATACTGAACTTAAAAAAAAATTCATTCCACTCCAAGACAAAGCCACCCCACCCACTGCAAAGTGTTCTTTGTAAGGCGGTAACCAGCAAGCTAGTTTCGATTCTTACTCTCTCTCTCTCTCTCTCTCTGTCTCTCTCTCTCTCTCTGTCTCTCTCTCTCTCTGTCTCTCTCTCTCTGTCTCTGTCTCTCTCTCTCTCTCTCTGTCTCTCTCTCTCTCTGTCTCTCTCTCTCTCTGTCTCTCTCTCTCTCTCTCTCTCTCTCTCTCTCTCTCTCTCTCTGCTCTAAAGCCTGAGCAACTGGGTACAAACTTGATTTCTGCCAATGATAATCAGAGCGATATCGTCTGCCACAGATGTTGTGGTGCCAAACACTTGGCCGGATATTGAGTCGACAATCTGGGCAAAGTGTGAACCGGTGGAGAGACAAAGCCATACGGTGCTATCGTTGTGACAAATATATCACTGAAATGTCCTGGAAACAAATCAGGAAAACAGACATTCCCCGCCCAGATAAAAATGCTGCACCTCCCGTAGTCAACGTATTAGTTGTGTTCAGTTCTCATTGACTCTGGCTGCTCCCGGTTGATAGTGCAGAGCGATGCCAGTTGTGGACCGGAAATCACATAGATATGGAGACGATCGTTGACTTGTTGGAATAGATGCGATAACTACATTCGGTGACATCCATACCCTGAAAAGAAACTGGGGCTACTCAAAGGCTTAGTGCTATTAATGGCCGTCGTGCAACACAGCAAAGGAAGAGTGCGCGAAGTGATGGACTATAGCAAGCTCAATGAACACGTTGATGAGTTCACTGCAAATACAGACGTTTGTTCGGCCAAACTCAGAGAGTGGCGCCAACAAGGGGCAAATGTGGCCATGCTTGACTGCGAAAAGCGTATCTTTAGATAAACGTACATGAGTCATTGTGATCATATCAAACCATGATGGTTAATTGAGAGCAGTTGTGCCTAACACGTTTCGGGTTCGGCCTCAACATGGCACCTCTAGTCTTGAAGTCCATTATTGACACCGTGCGGTCACAGGAGGAGTCAGCTGGGAGAGCATCATTGACGTACTTAAACTATATGCATATCAATGAGAGCGTCATATCTGCAGAACAGGTCAGGGCAAAATAGGCCAAATACGGGCTGATTTACAAAGATCCAGAACGTTTGAAGGATGGGATTCGTGTACTCGGACTGGAAGTCTGGTGGGAGCGTAACACCCTACGGTGGACGTGGGGAAGCGCGATCCCAAATGTCCCTGTTGTTATGACTCAGCGGAATGTCTTCTCATTATGCAAGAAGCTCGTGGTACATCTTTCAGTGTGTGGATGGTTGCTTGTGGCAACCGCGTTCATCGAGAGCCAAGTAAAAAGTCTACACATAAAAACCGATTCCTTATGTGTGTACCGCCGGCTGTCTGACACCCTCACGGGCAAAGCTAGACTACCTACCAAAGCAGCGAGCGAGATGAAGTGCAAAGAAAATTAAGCACAATGAAGGAATTTGTCCAAGAATACAAGATGTCTCTCGACGTGATACTAGTCGCGTCAAGCCAGGACTTTGCAGACAAGATGACCAGCGTACTCCAAAGTTGGCTCGATATGGCCAAAAAGGGGTCTGAACTTGTGCAGATGTGTGTTGCTTCCCTCGACACCGGTAGTCCTAGTCAGATAATGGAAGTACATCAATGCAGTGGGCGACGTACTACATATTTTGCGAGGAGATTTTGTCCTTCCGTGACTAAGGCCATGGAAAAATCGGCCATGGGGACCTATGTGAAGTTCACGACAATAGATCATGCTCCAGTCCATCGGAAAAAGGACAGTAATGAACAGTACTTGGCACCGGCTCGGCATAAATATCACTCACTACCGCGGCAGTCATTACCTGACACTAACAGATTGTGGCCCGTCACGTTTTTCTGTGTGGCGGCCATTACACCGCCAAAACTCGTTGAGTATCATACGTCAGCTGGAGTCTGTCTCCTGTTACCCCCATAGATGACACTTCACTGACTGCGCTGTCAAGTCTACAGATACAAGTTTCAGCTTAGAGATTGATTCAGTGCTTCCAATGATGTCTGAAGTGGACCATAACGTGTACAAGGTGGGAGATTGTGTAGCTAAAGGCCTCACACAACCGGTGTACAATCCCTTTCGGAAAGGGAAGAATTACTGAACTTGTTAGCCCGCAATTAGTCTTGGTGGACGGAATGCCATGTTGAGGAACTTCGTCCTGCCCTGAGTTCACGATCTTCAAGTAGTGAAAATGTCCGAAAGTGAAGATAAAATCCTCGTGAGCGTGGTTAGGCCCGATGATCTCACGGAAAAAGAATGACTTGGGGACGTGGTGGAAGAACACGAACCAGTCCCACTTCGGTGAAGCACTCGACGAAAGAGACCCGCTTCAAGCTGTCATATCTGTAATCCGATGTCCAATTTCAACAGACACTTTGCTTACACTACAACTGAAAAAAAAAAAACTGATATAAGAAAACGAGAAAATGAAACAAACCATAAAAATAGACACTTAACTAAACAGTAATAAATTTACCAACACACAACAAATACTCTTCTCAGCTTCACGACGCAAAAAGAGACGGTTTGGACCGCTACTTAAGTTTCACGCTACCGCAATCGACAGGCGACCATATATATATATATATATATATATATATATATATAAGGTACCCCCCAAATTTTCTAAAATTAATTTTATTTTATTAAATGCTTTCACCTTTTCTAACATGTCCGAAATTTTGGTTAAAAATGTTGTTTTTCTTACGTCATCGGGTGGGCCAAAGATTAGTGTGGCTAATTTTAGCGTCTTTTTTGGCGTTAAAAACATTGTCGGATTTTAATGAAATTTTCAGGACTTATTCACAAATGAATTAAATTATTTTGTTTAGAAAGTTTTGGTAATTTTTTTTTTTTTTACTTGCGTTACCCCCACTTAATTTTATGAAATGTATATTAATTAAAAGCAGTAATACTTGGAGAAATTAAAACCTCAATTATTTATTTTTTTTTTTTGTCTTGTCAAGGAGAAACACTATTTGCCAAAATCTGCTCTGAATCGCAAAATAAAAAATGTAATAAAACTATGAGATTTAATTAGAAAAGCTTTTGCTTTTATAAAATAAAATATCTAAAAAAAGACACTTGTGTTGAGAAAAAATCTATGAATAATGAATTTTTACAAGAATTTTTTGTTTTAGAAAAGTTTTAAATCTTAAAATTCTGTATTGAGCCTTTTAGATGATATTAAGTGAAAACTATATTTATTAATCGTAAATGGAAAATCTTAATACAAATCAAACACCAATATATATTTGTTTTAATTTGAATTGTATGTGTATAAACGTGCTGATTTATGTAAGTATGGGTGACCATACACGACATTAACAGAAAATAAGAGCGATAACTATAGTAAATTTAAAGCCAACATTTCTAAAATTCAATGAAACACTTTATGGAGAATATTTTCCTAAATAAGATTACTGAGTACTTAGGTATGATATAAAAACCTCATTTTATTGAATTATATTTTAAAGATAGTCTCCGTAGAACAACAAACTGTCATCACCCCGTTATAGATGTAAACATGGCTACTGTCAGTTAAAAACATTGCTACTAGCTACTGTTTGCTTACAAAAATCATTTCTACGATATTTTAAACTTAAAATAAATATTTGTTTGAAATCAGATCAATTATATTTAAATCATCTAATATTCCTCAAATAAAGTTTCAGAAAAGTTTTTATTTTTGGAAGATTTTTTTTTAATAAAGAGAATTACATTGCGATGAAAGACTACTAAAAAAGGGGGAGATAATCAGTTATTTTAGAAAAATTTTAGAAAAATCCTTCCAGTCAATTAAAATTAGTTTTTGAAATTGAACAGGAGTAGTCTCATTCCTTGTTTCCTGTTTAGGAAGGAGTTCCCGGATCTTTTTTTTTTCTCTGCTCTCTGTAGTAGTGCTGTTATGAATCTCTTTTGATGTGTGCGGTTTGTGGTAAGGTAACGTCTCTTCATAATGAGGGGACCGGGTTGGCAGTTTTCTGGTTGCTGTTCCCGACTGGTAATCAAGAGTCCGAACTCTTGCGTTGCATCTTGAATGGCTGCTCTGCTCAACAGTTGCATAATATCTGGATTCTTGTAGTGCCATGTTGCGCATAAAAGGGTGTCTCTGTATACCTCCGGTCAACCCAGTCTGCGCCAGTTCCTTTCAGCCTATGTCGCATACGATGACCGTTACTATTTTCAACATGACCATAAACAACCAAAAACCGCTCAAAAAATCACTTAAACCCTTTAACATTTCATTCTCCAACATCCGGGGTATTCGTACCAACTTCTACAGTGTGGAATCGTTCCTCTTCGAAAAGTCTCCTGATATACTGCGAGACTAACCTTAACTCGTCAATCTCCTCCTCTTGATTTCTCGATTCCCGGCTACCTTCCTCTCCTTAGAAAAGATTCTAAAATCCAAATGCATGACCTGAGATTTTGTCCGCGACCATCTCCCGCTGGCTAGGGAACTTGAATCTCCAGACCATTCGTATATGTCTCCGTCAATCTCTCCTCAATTCAGTAAGCTATCACTTCTTTCTCTATCGTTCCCCTTCCTCTCAAGACTGTACTCGATAGCATTCCCGATAATATAGACAAGGCCATCTTTCTACATCCGTTTGCACACACATTCGTGTTCGGTGACTTATCCCCACCATACTATGTGACTTAAACACTCGCTGGCATCTAAACCTTTAACTTTTCAATCCCTCACGCAAGCGGTTGACTTTCCTACACGTTTCCCCAGTAACCCTGAGGGTAACGCTTCCCTTCTCGATCACTGTTTTACCTCCATCCCTGATTCTCTTCGCGCTACGCAGCTCTGCTCCCTTATCAACTCCGATGACGCCATAGTGTCTATTAACATCTTCTACTCCCCCTCCAGCCAAGAACCTCTTAATAACAGAATATCTTTCTGTTATCAACGCGCAGACTGGGACTCGTTCCCTGATTTCCTTCTCGACGTCCCGTGGAATGTGGTTTTTAACCACCTCGTTCAAAAATGTGCGTCTGGGGTCTCCTTCTGGGTAAAAGCTAGCATTGAGGCTTTCATCCCAGCAGGAAAATACCAAGTTAAATCGCGCTCATCCCTTGATTCTCATCTGCTTGCTCAGTGGCTATAGCCCATAGGAATCACTTCCCTCTGTACCGAAGCGAGATGTCTGTTTGCAACAGACGTCTCTTTGTCTCTGCTCGTAATGAGTGCAAGTGGATTCTCAATGAAGCAAAGTTACTATTTGCTGATAGAATGAAACAACGTATTGCACCTCACAAGTTTGGTTCTAAAGGTTATTGGCAGCTCTGCAAG